CCTTGCGCTTGCCAGGCAGGCGCTTTTGCCGCTGAGCTAAATCCCCAGCCCCTACACTGCGTATTGTGATCTTTAAATTAGTTACTCAGAGTATAAGACATAGCCATTTCATTGTCTAAACAATATTAACACAAACCTTTCTTTTGAATTGACTGAGAGAAATTAGTGGTGTAACTATCTAAAGTATCTTCTGTGCAGATACATATATATATTTTTTGCTTTTCCCTTCCATGTTTTTTCCTTTCTCCCATATCAGTTCCTCCTTACTTTTAAAGTTTCTTCCCATTTTGCAATATCTGTTATGCATTTTAGATCTTATTTACTCTTTCAATTTCTCACACTAGGGAGACAATATGTTTACACGTGAGTGTGATTTATCTCACTTATGAGTATGATCTCAAGTTGTATCTGTTTACCTATAAAAATCTCCAGTTCATCCTTTTTTTCTGAACATAAAAAGAGATACTTATATTTTTCTGACCATAGTGCAATGATTTTTAAATCTTCTTAATCAAGTAACTATGAAAAAAGTACTCCAGAAGATAATGTACAGATGGGAAATGTAATCACTAGATTGCCTTTTGTAATTTTACCCTAACCCTACATTTAGTGTAGGAAACAAACAAAAGACCCTAAGTTGTTACTAACTCAAGAAATCATTTCAGCATACATCTAGCACGTGCATTTCCAGGTTGTACTTCTACAAATTCTGTTACCAGTTTAATCATGAATAACACTCTGTAACAGAGCAAAAGGATCACAGTTACTGCATGTGAGCCTTTCCCCACACCTTCTGATTAAGGCATAATAAAGCTGACAATGCTGTCAGGCTCTGAATCCTCTGACCCCATCCCAAACCTTAGAAGCAAAGACCATGGCCTGTCATACAACTTTGCACAAGCTGTAGTAACCTAAGTTTTATCTTTCTAAGGAAATGGTCAGTTATTTGATAAATTGTGTTTTTGTACCAGGAATTGAACTCGGGACCTTGCACTTGCCAGGCAAGCACTGTGCCACTGAGCTATAATTCACAGCCCCTGGAAAATATTAAAACATTGCTAGCAATCCATTTTCTAGGTTTGTTTACCAAACACCTTATGTAAGAGCTGACTACACAAAAAGTTCTTGTAAAATTTGGTCCACAATTCACTTAAGAGGTTAGAATTTGAAATCTGCAAGAAAAGGAAGTGGGAATCCCTAATTCTAACATGTGATAATCACATTTTTTGTTTTGTTTTATTTTATTTTTTAGGCAGGCTCTCACTATGTAGTTTAGGCTGCCCTTAAATTCATGATGTAGCCCAGGTTGGCTCTGAACTTGCAGCAATCCTCCTGCCTCAGACTCCTGAGTACTGGGATTATATGTGTGCCCACCATGCCCAGTCGTCATGGTGTAACTATTAAAGGGATATAACATGCTCACAGAAGGCACAAACTATAAAAGGAGCAGTCTTTCTAATAAAACAAAGAACTAGCTGAGCACCGTAATAATTAAGATGAAGTTACACCTGAATTCATTGTCTACTCCTGTGACCAAAAAAAAAAAAAAAAAAAAATTAATGTGTTACTCTGTATTTTTTGTCTTACTACATATTTTGTAGCCATTATTTGAGATGTAATTTTGAAAGAGTAAAACTGCCCTAAAAAGGGGCTGGACAGCAGCTATCAAAGCATTGTTCAAGCATGATTCCAAGGGTGCTTTCAGGTTCAGAGTCAGCCTCCTTGTGAGAAATCCTCAGGACTTCATCCAACACTCCTCCCCACATCCGGATGCATCTATTTTCTGGACTCTGCCCAGTTCTTCACCTCAGTCAGGAGCCGGCCGTGCGGAGTGAAGGTGAGTCCGGCTGTCCTGGGCCCAGCTCTCGGCTCTCATCCCGTCTACAGCGACGGTTTCCCCTCTCCAGCATCCTTCAGTACAGGTCTCATTCTTACACTCGGAACACAGAGAAAAGCTCCGCCTGCTGTGCCATCCACGGCCTTGTTCCAACCGTGAAGGTTGTCTTGATTTCTTGGAAACCCGTCCATCAAGAATTTATTGCCGGTGATAATCTAGCAACTCATCTGAAGACAACAATATACAGTGGAACAGCCATTGGTGAATTCCTACCATCTTGTCTAGTGAAACTGTATTACCTCTAATGTATCTAATAATTATTTTGGTATTCTCTTTAATGGTTTGAACAAACTTCCATTCTTGCATCTGGTAATCTGAGCAACGTAGTTGAAGGTAACAATATGGAATATAACAACCACTGTTGATTCCCATCGTTTTGTTTTGAATCCCTGTAGGGCTTTGAATATGCTTGCTTTGTTTTGTTTATGTTTGTGATGTTGGTATGCTGGTATCGCTCTTTTTCTTTCTTTCTTTCTTTTACTACTCTCTTTAAAAGAAAATTAAAAAAAGAATTTATTTCTGGGCCGGGATATAGCTCAGCGGCACCAGTGCCTGCCTGGCAAGCACAAAGTCCTGAGTTTGATTCCTGGTACCAAAAAAAAAAAAAGGTATTCCTTCTGCTGGGCACTGGCAGCCGTTGTGTAACCCTCCTCAGTAACTGACAGTAATCTCCACTGGCACGCCCTTTCGTTCTGTAATGTGCTTACCAATGAGTTCGGCATCGTGTGACCCAGCATATGCCGCGCCTCTGACTGCAGCGGGGAAGGGAGCGGCCGTGGGTGCCCGGGCCCGCTGCCCAGCAGCTGCCAGTGCGTCCTTCTTTAAGGCTGAGTAGCACTCCATTGTATAAAAAGACCATATCTTTTTATCCATTCCTCGGTTGATCGGCATTTGGGTTGTTTCCAAAATCTAGCTAAGAGAAACTGTGCTGCTATAAATAAAGGTACACATGTATCAGTTCCTTTATTCTGTGTCCCAGCACTGAACGACTGTTTTGCTTTCTACTGCTATCAATTTGTCCTTTGGGGCCTTTTTTTTTTTTTTTTTTAGATAGGCACTCCCTCGGTAGCCCAGCCTGACCTGGAACTCTTCCTCCTGCCTCAGCCTCCGCGGTGCTGGCGTGCACCACCATGTCTGGCTCTCGGTATTTCTTATAAATGCAGTCATATTATGCTCTCTGTTATGTTTGACGAGCTCTGTTTAGCAAGACCCTATCTCAAAAAGGAGGAAAGTCTGCAGACAGGTGTATTTATGTAAGGAAGTAAACAAACTTACGGGCTTGGCGGTCCTCTGGCTCCCAGGTGAAGAATCCAAAATGGCGACGCAGGGATGGAGTCACACCTTCCCGGATGCGCGCTTCTGTTAGAAGGCTGAACGGAGGATGCTCGGCGTGTTGGCGCACACCTGTAACCCCAGCACTCGGAGGCTGAGGCAGGAAGGATCCTTGCCAGTTTGAGGCCAGCCTGAGCTACAAAGTGAGTTCCAGGCACCCTGAACTGCTAAGCGCAGCCATGGGGCCTTCGTCTTTCCGCATTCATTAAGTCAAATTTCCGAACCTATTCCTTGGTTCCCTGCAGCCGGGGTGGATGCGTCCGTCTGTTGGCGGCTCTAGATGTCAGTCATCCGTCAGTCATCCGTAGGCACACCCGTAGGCACACCAGAGGCCGGTCTTATACCACAGTAACATACCGCGATGCTAAGGCAAGCACAGCATCAAGGTGCTTGGTTTTGGTGGACTTTTGGTACCGGAGGTAGAACTGGCCCTTATTCAAACCTGTACCGCGCCCGGAGCTCCATCCCCGGCCCTAGTTTCAATTGCACGGGAGGAATAACCATTTTTAGGGAAACCGGAGGCACATCTGAGACCCCCAGGCAGGCTGAGGTCAAAGAACTCTTGGGGAGCGGATCTCTAGTTGGACGGTCCGGCTCACGGGCGGAGGTGAGGTCATCCTGGGACCTGGAAGCACCGAAAGCTACCACAAAAACCTTAGGGGAGAACCGTGGAGTCTGTCCATGAAAAGCCAAGAGCGGCTGTGATTCGGGGTGCAGGGGTTCGGTTAATAAGGCGTCTTGCCGGGCGTGATGGTGCACGCTCTTAATGTGTGCACTCAGGAGGCTGATGCAGGAGGGTCTTTCAAAGTTGAAGAACAGCCTGGGCTACAAAGTGAGCTACAGGCAGCCTGAACTGCATAACGAGATCCAATCTAAAAAAAAAAAAAAAAAAAAAAAAGACCAAAAGAAATTTTTTTTTACATGACTAAAGACCCCACTTGGTCTAATTGCTCCAGTACGTCCAGACAGGCATTAGTCGCCTAGGTGGGCTACCAGGGCTCTAAACCAATCCCTTCCCCAAAATGCTTTTTTTCTTTCCATATATCCCGCCTACATGACTGGTTCCCCTATTGGGTTATTAGCTGATTAGCCAAATTTGACTCACATTTCTTTCTGGTGTTTTTTTTTTTTGGTACTGGGAATTGAACTCAGGACGTTGAGCTTTCGAGACAGGAGCTGCGCCACTGAGCTAAATCCCCGGCCGGCCGTCACCCTTGGAATCCTGCAGGCTGACGGCGCCGACTGTGACTCTGCAGAGTAAGTGTCCCCTCGCGAAGGCCTCGGTGGCCACCGTGCGGACATCGGGAGCTAGTCTCTCTCTTTTTTTTTATTTCCTGGGAGACTCTCCCGATTTCTTCCTTCGGTTCGCAACTTCATCGAGTGTTGTGGGACCCCAGACCGGGCACACGTGACATCTAACAGGGCAAGAGGTATGTATTTTCTCTGCTGAGTGCTTTCAGGTACCCCAAAAAGGACCAAGGAAAAAGGACCAAGGACCAAGGACCAAGGACATGATCGCTCTTTCTGTGCTGAGCGTATCACTGGCTCCCCCTTGAACATCACTGCTTTTCGAAATAGCGTAAGCCGAGCCTGAATAATGAAATAGGAAACTTACATGTGTACCTGGGACAGAAAAGCCCTAGCTTCACACACGCACTCGCACGGGCAGGTGGCAGTGCCATTGGCTGCCCAGGCTCCGCATCCCGGCCGAGGGGCGCAAGCGCAGTGCGACGCCCACGGGCGCAGTGACGCAAGAGGCGGAGCCAGCGGCGCCGGCACCTGCAGGATGCAGAGCTGCTGCCATTGAGCACTGCGCAATTGACTGCTGAGGGAGCTGCAGACATCGCCCTCGTATTAAAACTGATTTTGCTCAGCTGCGTTACTTGCCGCGACACCACTGCCGAATGCCGCGCACCAGGCGTTTGTAAGGAAAAGCGGTGTTTGAGGACGCGAGAGTTCATTACGAATCTCAGCTTGGGGCAAGGAGCCTGGTTTACCCAGATGGACCCTAAATCCAACCACTAGCGCGCTTACAGAGGAGAAGCCAAGGGATATTTGAAAGGTGCTGAAGAGCGGAACGCCATGAAACCACTGTGGCAGACCCCGGAGTAAAGGGCTGCAGCGACAGATGGCGCCGGCAGCGGCCCGACGCAGCCAGGGCCCCCTCCAGGCGCCTGCACAGGTGTCCAGCGCTGCGGACATCCTGACGCCCACCGCGGACCCCTGACCTGCGGAACTGCCGGGGGTGCGCCGCTGCGCGGTAAGTCGCTCGGTTCGAGAGGCTTTCTCCTGGTAGCACGGGGAGCTGGTGCAGGGGCGGGGAGGGATGGAGGAGCCCTTGTGGGTGTTTTCCCAGGAGCGCTGAAAGCGTCATGCCTCAGCCGTGGATGCGCGCGCATGTTCCTGCCGCGCAGTTTGTCCTGGCTGAATCTTGGAAGCAGCCCGAATGCCCATCAGCTGAGGAGTGGGTAAAACGATGTACTTTTCAACAGTGAGGTATTTTCTCAGCCGTAAGGAAAGAGGGAAAAGCAGCTTTTACAGGTAAATGGATGCAACTAGAGAGCATACTCACAAGTGAAATAAATCAGTGTGTAAACACCGTATTGTCTTTTTAAATTTTTATTTTAAAGAGAGTAGTAAATGAAAAAAAAAAAAAAAGAATAATAGCAGCATACCAACATCACAAACAGAAAACAAAGCGAGAACATTAAGAGTGATTCAGGGCTTCAAGACAAAATGATGGGAATCAACCATGGTTGCTATATTCCATATTGTTATCTTCAGCTATATTGCTCAGATTACCAGATGCAAGAATGGAAGATTGTTCCAACCATTAAAGAGAATAGCAAAATAACTATTAGATAAAACATTAGAGATAATGCAGAGTTTCACTGGGCAGGATGGTAGCAATTCACCGGGGTTGTTCCATTGCATATTGTTGTCTTCAAATGAGTTGCTCCAATTAGCAGATACAAGCATGCAAAACTGGTCAGAACATAATACATTTTAAGCATTATCTGTTCCTGGCAATATACCCTCAGACGTCAGCAGTACTTCTTTCTTTTTTCTTCTTTCCCTCATCCCAGTTGTTCCTTCCTTTGAGCAGTTTCTTTCCCTTTCATATCATCTAGTGTACCTTCTGAGTTTTACTTACTCTTTCAGGTTCCTACACCAGGGAGATAATTAAACACGTTATTGTCTCCCTAGGGTAAGAAGCTGAAAGAGTGAATAAAATCTGAAAGGTACAAGAAATATTGCAAAAGGGAAAGAAACTGCTCTGTATGAAAGAATACCTGGCATGAGGGAAAGAAAAGAAAGAAGGAAAGGAAAAAATATGTAGGCATACATAGCTAAGGTAATTGTAAACACCCTGATCCTGTGCAAGAGGAGGGCAGGGAGAGGATGTGCGAGACAGCCCCAGCCTCTGGCAGGTAGCCTGCATCCACTGTAAGGGAGGAGGAAAGGGTCGCTCTCTCCTCTGGTTCTTACTGCTTTTGCTGTCTTGTGCGGCTTGAACTGCTGCCCCTGTGCCACGCCACCCTGCCTTAGAGCCGGGTGATTAGGACTGAAACCTCCACGAACTGTGAACTAAATAAACCTTTCCTTCCTTAATTTTGGGCGTTGGTATTTTGTCTCAGCAATGAGAGAAAAGTAACCACGACATCCTCTGAAAGTATCAGCTCTGGTACCGCAGTAGGGGGACACAAATGTTTGTGTCTCACGGACACTAAATGTAGCCTTTCCCCATGATTATTCAGTCAGAAATCCAAGGTTTGAATTCCAGGTTCCTCAGGAGAAAGAAGAGGAAACCCATCACTGCCCTTTGCTGACGACGCCTCTCTGGAGGGACTTTTGCTTTTCAGTGCTAGGGATTCAATCCAGAGCGTGGTGGTGCTGGACAAGTGGCCTGCCACACCCGCACCCAGCCCTTTTTCTTTTGAGAGAGGGTCTTGAGAAGTTGCACAGGCTGCGCTTGAACTTTCTGTTTTAGTTACTGTTTTTTTTTTTTTTGTTGTTGTTGTTGTTTTACTGGCAATTACACTCAGGTCCTTGTACTTCCAAGCCAGGTGTTGAGCCTTATCCCGGGCCCTGTTTAGTTACTTTTTTCATTGTTGAGACAAAATACCTGACACCCAAATTTAAAGGAGGAAAAGTTTATTTGACTCACAGTTTGTAGAGGTTTCAGTCCATAGTTAGCTGGCTCTAAGGCCGGGTGGCGTGGCAGAGGAGAAGCAGTTTATGGGGGGCAGAGGGCAGGGAAAGCAAATAAGCCACAAGCCTCTTTCTGTCCCTGAGATTTGTCCAGGCAATTTCCAGGTAGCTCT